GGAAATTCAAAATATTGGTCGAAAGTGCTGGTTCGTTTACAGAACGATGAGGACAAAAAAACTTCTCGGACAAGATAACCTTGTTATCAGTACCAGAAACTGTGCGTCTTCCGGAAGATTGAAGATTGTACGGCTGGAACAGAACGAACTTGCAGGACATCTGCATGATAAGAGGAGAACACAACATCGAGAAGACAATGTCAACGTTTTTCAAAAGTGAATTCTGTGAATCAGATGATAGGGTTGTGTCTATGGAAAAGAACTTGAGTATAGCTACGAGTAGGTGAAAGAGATAGTGAGTCTTCCATATCCCTTCATTTCATGAAAGGATTGAAGGTTCTATCTTCATCCGTGCTTTGAACCACGGCAAAACCCGAAAGACAGTATGAATCTATCCTTGCTTGATAAGAACATCAAATGCTCAAACTCAATAAGAGACGACTGAGATGACATCGTTGCAGGAGAACAGTCAGATCTACGCAGCGAGGAACTGCTGGGAAGGAAGAACATGATTTGGCTACATGAATTATCTTTCCAGAAGGAGAGAGGATCAACTACTCAAGTGACTAGTTCCTAATTCTTGAGCTGAAAAAAGTACCATTTCAGGTTGGCATAGATACCGAGAAGTGGAGCAGCGAGATAGACGAGCTCCATGAACCAACCTTTCTTAAGTATGCCTCTTACTCTGTTCCTGTAATCTGTGTTGGACATGAGAACATAGTATGGACCAAATATGGGATAGATGCACATGGTCATGAAGGCTAATTGAGAAACGACTGAGATATTTCAATTAGTGAGTAGGTGTCCAAGAGAAGGATTACCCGTATTTCCCACATTCAAGAAAGCACATAAGCAGAGAACCAGAAACGGGCAGCCAAAACCAACTGTCTCAACGATCATCTGAACTAGGTTGATCTCGACAGGTATAGAGAATCTTACGAAATAAAGAATTCCAGTAGTTATTCTACGTTGGTTGGCTAAGAACTGAGTCGACTGCGATGACTTGGCCTGCTCTCTGATGCTCTGAACGAGAATGGAAACACAAACAGCTCCAATCGACAAGTAAATCACAGTATACAGTAACGTGTATGAAGCGATCATGATAACTCCAGTATCTTGGAACGATAGATCCATTCCTCGGGAGCTGTACATCACTTTGGGATATTCATATGGTAGTTTCTAAAAAAAAGGCAGGAAAAATCAAAAAAAAACGCGAAACCTTAAGACATGTATGTCGTGCTTCTTCTCCACCGTCTTTCAAGTTCATACCAGCGAAGACCGCAAAAATAACTTGGGTGCTTAGCTGCACGAAGTATAAGGTTATGATAAGGTTTTCGTGTTTCTTCATCCATGTATTTATTGCAAACGTTCTATTGACAGTGAGAAGAAAAAAAACGATGCACTGACTGAAATGTATGTTTGTCGAATATACTCTCTTCAGGCGGCTACTAGTAATCAATGTTACTTGAATCCAGAATTGATCCAATGGTCTC